GATTTAACAGCTCTGGAGAGCACAAGGAACTTTATGGAAATCAGGCACCAGTTGGATTTTTCACCCTAACTGCTAGTTTAGCTAGCAAGCCAAAGTGCCTGAATGTTTAGGAAAATGTGTGTTTTATACATGTACACAGCGCATACACACACAGACACATGGCTCCCATACAAAGTCTTCACAACCCTGGGTCTGATTATCCAGGAGTTTGGTAATCTTGTCAGTACCATAATCCAGCATGACAAGGATGTCAAGCAAGAATACCATTGCATTGGCAAGCACCACCCTTTCCTGCAACACACAAGGCAGTTAAAGAGGCAATAGTACCCAGACATTGTGACACAATTTTTTCAGTAACTCTATGTTTATACAGGCTTGTGCTTCATTGGATGGAGTGTTGCCACTCAGTGAGCTTTTGGCCTTGTGTGTGCGGAGCTGTAGAATAAGGCAGATCTCTCCAGCTCATCAGTGAATAAAAGTAATTATCTTTCTAATTTGCCTCCAGACTCTTGCTAAACACAATGGTCTGACTAGGGGGGCTTGTAAAAGGTGTGAGGCTTCTGTATGTGATCTGCAAGGGCAGATGTAGAGCACAATTCAGTGTTTAAACACTGCAAAGGAAAGATCCATGTGGCTCCTCTTTGAGCTCCACTATGTTAACTTTACTCTAGGCCAGCATAAAGGAACGTGTCCCATGTTGTTTTTAGTGGATTACACCTTTCAGGACTCCAATGCATGAGAGATCAGGACCATGTGACACAACCCTCCTGAGTGGTCTGTCATTCTTCTGAGTAGCAAGGATGATTTCTGCATCATGGCAAAACCCCAGGGTTTCCTTTCCTCTCAAATTGATTGACCAGGAGTATACAATGACCACAGCAGTAGAGGATGCAAAGGTGACAGCTTTTCAGCCATCACCAAGAGACAGCACCATTATCAGCAACTGAGAATGAAGCAATTCTTCCAGACAGATCTGTGAAAGCAACCAGATCTGTGTACCACATGCTGATGGGGGCTTGTGACAAATGAAGGCGGGGGGGGGGTGGCTCCCTTTTATGAACACACAGCCAGTTAGCTGTAAAATCCCTCTTGGTGTCTGTTCTCTGCTTGCTTTACCTGTAAAGAGTTAACAAGCCCACAGGTAAAAGAAAAGGAGTGGGCACCTGACCAAAAGAACCAATGGGAAGGCTAGAACTTTTAAAATTGGGAAAGAAACTTTCCCTTTGTCTGTTGTTCTCCGGAGGAGACACAGAGCAGTAATGCTATAAGCAGGAATGCTGTGTAAAGTTTGAACCAGATATGAAAACCATCAGATCATATCTAGAATTACTTTTAACAACCCAAATATGTAAGTAAATTAGGAATGTTTAGGAAGACGCGATTAGGTTTAGTCTGTTTATTTTTTTAAGGCTTGTGGACTCCTCTGTGCTAGCCCCAGATGCTTTTGTTTGCTTGTAACCTTTAAGCTAACCCCCAAGAAAGCTATTTTGGGTGCTTACTTTTTGGAATTGCTCTTTTAAAATCTAGCAAAAGCCTAAGTTCCAGATGTATTTTCTTCCTTTTTGTTTTTAATAAAATTTACCCTTTTAAAGAACAGGATTGGATTTTTGGTGTCCTAAGAGGTTTATGCATGTTTGATTAGCAGGTAGGAACAGCTAATTTCCTTTGTTTTCTTTCTCAGCTCTTCTCTGGGGGTGGGGTGGGAGAGTGAAAGGGCTTGAGGGTACCCCACAGGGAGGAATTCCCAAGTGCTCCTTCCTGGGTCCAAGGGTTTTTTTTTTGCATTTGGGTGGTGGCAGCATTTACCAAGCCAAGGTCAGAGAAAAGCTGTAACCTTGGGAGTTTAATACAAGCCTGGAGTGGCCAGTATTAATTTTTAAAATCCTTGCGGGCCCCCACTTCTGCACTCGGAGTAACAGAGTGGGGATTCAGCCTTGACAGGGCTCGACAGGGCTGGCTGTTGTTGACATGATGGGCCACCGGTTCTGTAGGAGCTGGACTGGGCTATAGAGGAGGGATGAGTATAGGCCTTTCATAGAATCATAGAATATCAGGGTTGGAAGGGACCTCAGGAGGTCATCTAGTCCAACCCCATGCTCAAAGCAGGACCAATCCCCAAGCAGATTTTTATCCCAGTTCCCTAAATGGCCCCCTTAAGGATTGAACTCACAACCCTGGGTTTAGCTGGCCAATGCTCAAACCACACTGTACATTCAGGAGAATCTGCTTTCAGACCCTCCAGTCACTTTTAAAATTGGGCCTGAAGAATTATGGCTGATGGGAAGCAATTTGCTCTTGAGGCTTCTGTAAATAAAATCTTTCTCCAAAGCCACCTGAGATGCCCACGCACCTTGGAACTAAAGTTTTTACGACTTGCACAGCGGAGTGGAAGCTAGACAGATGTTTTTTTGGCCTCCCTAATCTAGCCCTGGAGCAGGAATTTTTGCACCTTCACTGAGCTCCATTTGGAGGCAAAATGATCCACACAAGCTACTTTGACAATTTTCATCTTTGATTTATTCCAGGCTTTAAGCCACTTAGATGGAAGAGACTCCTTTTGTAATAATGATGGTTTCTTTCTCCTCTCCTGCCCCCATTATTCTTTACCAGGATCAGGTAACCAAAAAATCAGCAGCTGCTAGGTTCCCACACAGAGGAGTTGGAGTGAATTAAAAGTAAATTGGGGAATCTACTGCATGGCAGATCACTTCTGAAACTGATAACCAGTTGTTTCAAACACTTCCATGTAGTATTGTTCAACTGGCACTTATTTTGACAAATGTGGACACAGCTTTTTTTGAGATTATTATTAAAATAAAAACATGTAAATTATTTCCCCTCATGCACTGTTCTTGGTTAACTGGAAAAAAGAATCTAAGCTGTAAATACCATCAAACTTATTTAATCAATTTATAAACATTGTATCGGTAAAAACAGTTCTATTCTAAACGCTCTCTGTACACTGAGAGTCTAACCAAACATTAACAAGATTGAAAATTAAAGTCTGAAAACTGAACAGTTGGCAAAATGGCAAAGGCATGAATCATTACTCTACCTGATTATAGCCTGGCTCCCTAATAGAGCCCCGGCCCTGCAAACACTTATACACGGAAAACTTTATCACATGGGTAGTCCCATTGACTTCTATGAGATTACTCGTGGCCTTGATTCACGATAGCACTTAAGCATGTGCTGAAGTCCATGCCTATTCAAGAGCACACTAAGCACACGAAGAAGACCCTCCAATGGGAACTTGATGGAATTTAAGCAGACTCTTAACTGTTCTGAAAAGGGATGTTTTCCTGACAACAAGGATATGTGTTTGCAGGCCTATATATATTTGCACATTGCAACACCACACATTAAGAGAAGCTCAGCTTTTAAACCCTTCATCTGGACTGAGCAGGTCATTTTCTATTTATAAGTAATGAATATCAAGCTCTAATTTAAGGGTTCTGTTGTTGTTTTTTAACGCTTAAATATGCCTCAAAACAAATTTATTACATAAATATATAAATTATTTTTAAAATGAGAAACAGATGCCTTAAGGGAGAGAATATAAAAACTTACAGATAAATATAACCATATTTACAAATTCTGGAGTGTACAAAATGATGCCCTGGTTTAAAACAAAGCAAATTATCCAGGAGTAAAGGCGACAGTATATACACATTACATTTCTTATCTGGAATAGGTGGATAGTATTAGCCCTGATATTGCATCAGATTGGTAACCACAGACCCACATATCTGTGCAGGGGCCCCACAGAACCCAGTGGGCACAGGGGTCTGTGCTATTGGATCCTGATACAGAACTGGGATCATATTTTGGAATATTTTGTAAATACCGTATATACTCGTTCATAAGCCGATTTTTTTTAGTAAAAAAGGGAAGCACCAGAGAAGGGGGTCGGCTTATGAACGGGTATAGAGAGGGAGAGGTGGGACACAGCCCCTCCCCCCAACAGAGGAAGCAAAGAGAGGCAGCACAGCCAGCGGACACAGAAGGGACGAGGCGGGGCCAGCGTCTCTCCGCTTCTGGCCACGCTGCTCTCCCCCCAGCCTCTGAAGCAGCTGCAGCTCCAGGGCTGGCAGGCTGCAGCCGTGTCGCTCGGCTCCGCCCCCCAGAGCAGGCTGTGGCTGCGCCGCCCAGCCCGCCGGAGCACGCTGCAGCCGTGCCGCCCAGCCCAGCCCAGCCCAGCCTGCTGGAACATGCTGCGGCCGCGCCGCCCAGTCTGGCCCACCGGAGCAGGCTGCGGCCGCGCTGCCCAGCCTGCTGGAGCAGCTCCATCCAGGTCAGAGACATCCTCCCCAGATAAGGTGGGAAGGGATGGGATGGGGAGAGTGTGGGGGTCCTGGGCTAGGGGTGGGGTCATGTGGGGGGTGGTCACAGGGGTTACTCCCCTGACTCCCAGCTTCTCCCCCCAAAAAAACATTTCCCCACCAGTTGTTGTCCCGGCCCGTCAGGGTAAGCAGCTAATGCGCTGGGACACTTTGTTTACTTAGGTTTACCTCCGTGCCTGCGGACGCTTGAGGTAAACAAACCATCTCAGCTCACCAGGAGCTTATCCTGATGGCCCGGGAGCCAAAATTTGCTGACCCCTGAGTTACAGGGTCGGCTTATGAATGGGTTATAAAACTTTTCCATTTTTACTTATCCATCTTGGGGGGGGGGGTCGGCTTATAAACTAACCAGCTTATGATCGAGCATATACGGTAATGATAAAATAGTACAAGGGTCATTACAAATACATTAAAAAGCAACAGAGGGTCCTGTGGCACCTTTAAGACTAACAGAAGTATTGGGAGCATAAGCTTTCGTGGGTAAGAACCTCACTTCTTCAGATGCAAGTGCATCTGAAGAAGTGAGGTTCTTACCCACGAAAGCTTATGCTCCCAATACTTCTGTTAGTCTTAAAGGTGCCACAGGACCCTCTGTTGCTTTTTACGGATTCAGACTAACACGGCTACGCCTCTGATACAAATACATTGTAATGAGGTTGAAAGTCAGTGCATTACATTTAGTACAATCAAACTTTAAATTAAAATATAATATACAAAAAACACCTGCAGGATTTTCTGATGCTGACATTTTCTGAGGCCGTTAAAACAACAAGAGTAGAAACCATACATTCTGACACTGTTCTTTCAGTAATCTCGTGGTTTTTTACAACAGTACTGTCTATAGATTTTCACCTTCAGTTCCCCAAACTAAATTTAGATATGGACTGATATTCACCTCCTGGTAGCTCAAGACCAAAGTGTATAACATTGACTTTTTCATGAATGACGAGGTCCCCAACGAAGGTACGCTGCAAAATTAATCAAGCTTGAAATAATGTATACTATTTTCTGTAAAATATAAAATTTGCACCAGATCTTCAGTTGGGGGAAATCAGCCGAGCGCCACTGACTTCCACGGCTCTATGACAGTTTATACCAGCAGAGAATCTGACCGTTTGTTTCAAGAATTTGCCTTTCTGATGTCAAAAGTTTTCAAAGTCATATTGGAGGGAGGTCTAACATGAATGGTTTTTGGACATGATTTGCCAAACGCCCTAAATGAATGTCTTGGCTCCTACAGAAACTCAGTGGGAACCTAACTTAATTATAGACCTCTGAAAATCCCCTGAGGTATAGTTGGGAGGGATGGCTATTGATCATTATGGCCTACTTAGAAATGATACACAGAAATGATGGTCCATCATTGTGAATGTCAAATCAAGATGCAATTTATACTTTTGTAATTAATACCATTACTTAGAAATGTACATGTATCGTTCATGCCAATAAATCTACAGCAAAATGATACAAACACACAAGCTTGTGCCACCTACCATGAAATGCATTTTTACTACTGGTGGTTCTTTGATATCAAACCCTCTCTAAGCCCAATCCTGGATCTATTCCACATCCAAAGCTACTACTTGTTGGGTGTGTGGAACGGCTGGGGGATCAGGACTTGGATGTATTTCAGATATGCAGGGTAAGTATCATTTAAAAAAACCCAAAAAACTACCACACTCTCTAGGCAATGATTAACACCATTTATGATCATATAAATAGAGGATTGTCCTGAAAAAGTGGCCTAAAAATGACAAACTGAGTCAGGACACAGCAGCTGCTTGCTCTTAATCCCAAGTAGGCAATGGGGTTAATTGCCATTCAACATGGGGAGGAGGACATTTGATCATAATCAGGACATTTGAGCAGGGCAGGGTAGTTACTGTTCATCTGGAGAGATGCATCACTGGAAATATCGGAGGGGCTGCGTCCGCGCACCCAGGCATCGGGATGCAAGAATTGCCCTGAGTAATCAGAGCAGTTGCTAAGACGGGGGTGGTAGAAGCCGGGGTGGGGCCTGTAGATCTCCTCGGCCGTGTATCGTTTCATGAACAGGTAGACGGACATCACACCAGCACTCTGAAGGGGAGAAAATGAAACAAATGCTACTCACAGAGTAGGGAACTGGGTTGATTTAATTCTAAATGAATGAATGATACTCAGGAGCCGTATTGGCATTGCCAAGGACAAACAAGACTGTGTAGTTATGAAAGCAGCACATGGTCTAGTGGGCAGGGCATCAGACTGGGTGCCCGGAGACCTAGTTTCATTCCCTTGCTCTGCAAATGACTTGTGGTAAGACGCTGGTTATAGGGTGGCCATTCCAGTACTTTCAGAAACAGCGTGACGCTGCTCCCACTGGCAGGGCCTCTCTCACGCACAGCACGTGTGAGGTCACACTGCACTGGGGGACACCATTTTGAGGAGCGCACCACCTCACCCCCACCGGCATTGCCTCTCACGCACAGTGCATGCGAGGTCATGCTGCACAAGGGGGTGCCATCTTTAAGAGTGTGCCGCCCTGCCCCCAATGGCATGACTTTGCTTTTAAAAATAGAGTCCCCTGTCCAATACTGGACAAAACCACGTCCAGGTTTGCCAGGACCAAATAGGGAACAAAGCATCCAAAAAGAGGACAAACAGCCTCCCAACTTGGGTAAGTCACTTCTGCCTCTGGTTCCCCATCTGTAACATGGGGATAACAATACACCTGTCATCAAGATGCTCCTGCTTCTCCTGATTCAACCTACTTTGACCACTGGCATTCAGGGTTTGCACTGGCTGGCAGGAGACACAGGCTCAGTTGACAGCACCAGGATCGGCCCATTTGTTTGTCATTCCATATAGATGTCTATTAATGATAAGGGGCTTCTAAAGAGTCTTGCCCTTTCAAACCCCATCACAATCCCCCTTTTCATAACAACCAATTCCTGATGGATTGGCCCAACAGTCAATATTTTAACTCCTGAGAACAGACCATGTTTCTAAGGTTATGTCTACACTGCCCTACAGTATGGACTACAGGGGTGTGAATAGCAGCGAGCACAAAAGTGCTGCACTAACTCCCCCATGTGGGCACTGCAGGCGTGAATAAAAGTTTCCTACTTTGCATTAATGGAGTCCTGTTTGAAGAGGACTACGTTAATGTGGACTAGAAACCTTTTAGTTAACATCCACCCCGGGGAGTTACAGGGCAGCCCTTTGGTGCATTTTGCTATTCATATCTCTGTAGTTCAAGCTGTGGGGCAATATAGATGTGTCCTTATAGGCACTCCAGAAAGCTCACGATTGACAAGTACCTCTGTGAGAAGGAAAGAGATAGCAGAGAAAGCAAATGACCATCCATATTTATAACTGAAGTAAGTCTCTGAGTCCTTGGTCTGGTTCAGCATCTCGTCGTTAATGCTGGATATGTACAGCACCAGCCCCACAACCAGAGATAAACCTGGGAAGGGAGAATGACAGAAGGAAACGTTCTTCAGTAAAGACACGAAGCAGCTCATGGTGATTCTTCCTTTAAGAGAAAATTTGTATCTAAAGTTTAAAATATGTAAGTTGCATTTCAAAAAATTGGGGAAACAGGCTTCTCCCCCATTGAACGGATCAACGTATTTATGTCATTTTAGTCAAACCATTATGTTCTTAAGCAACACTCTTCTGAACTACTAGTGATCCGTGTACGAAAATGCTTTAAAGCTTAGCTGTCACCGCTGCTTGTTTAACACTCCTCTAACGCTATGAATAAAACATTGACTTGTCTCATGTAGGAAGATCCCAGCTGACTATTTTAAAGTTTCAAACATCCCCTGAGACTGACTTACCATAAGAAATAAGGGGCCTTGGTTTTTTTTTTTTTTTTAAAAGAGTCCGATCTTACGGGAGTGATAAATTGTGGATGCAAACTTCTACATGTCTCATTATACCATTGCAGTCCTAAAGTAGGCTATTAAAGGGCTACCATTTATATACTGCACTGAATAGACTTGGAGACCAAGTTAAGAGCCCCCGAAGTTATCGAAACAATAAGCTAAAAGATATTCTTGGAGAATGCTGAAAACTACAAAAAAGAAAATCCTCTCACCACAGCTTTTTTTTCTCACCGGCCTCAAGAATGAGAAGTAAAACAAGGAAAGACAGATTTATCAGAACTATGGAAAATAGTTTTAGGGTCAAGTATTTTTTTCACCATTATTCCTAGATGTACCTTATGAGATGTAAATACTAATATTGATTTTCTTTAGCTCCATAGGTCTGGAATTCCTGAGGTTGAGGCTCATATATTGTGCCAGGCTAAGAGACTGCATGGTATCATATCAAAGATCAAGTGAAGCAGTCATAATTAAAGCTGGTTGGGAATTTCTCTTTCCCTATGAAAATTTTCACATCGAGCTCTTGATGAAAGCCCAAGCATTTTTGATGGAAAAGGTAATTTTCCACAAAATTTCCAGTTTGTTGAAAAGCCATTTTTCATCTTAAAAAAAAAAAAAGTTTGATGACAATTTTGACCAGGTCTAGCCGTAATGTGCCACCTCACCATTGATTTCAATGAGGAGTTCTGCTTAAAAATACTATGGCACCATATAGCCCAAAGTAAGGATTTAACAGAGTGTTACTGCCGCTTTACAAATCTGTGGGGTTTTATGGCTGTTATCCCCCTCCCCTCGACGTACAAGGGCTTTCAGAGGAAACAAAGGCAGATGAGACAGCAAGTGCAATGTTAAGATCATTCCAATGAAACTCACCAGACAGAATGAAGAAGATTCCTGATACAAAGGCCAGGATGGTTCTGTGAGGCCGAATGTGTCCAATATTGCTCAGTATAAACCCGATGAACATGAAAAAGAGGCTGACCAAAGGGAAAGGCGTAGCAGAACGAATCATCTCTGGTTGTAAAAGGGGGAGGGAAAATGAGAACAGGGTTAGCTCCTCCCTACATAACACCAGAACTGGGCTAGATTGCACAGGCCAGGTCCTTTACATCTCCAATTTGTAGCTTTCTATAGATCTCTCTTTTTCCTTTCCTGTTCTCTCTCTAAGTCTCATGTGCGTGCTGGCACCCACCCCCAAACCAACCCACCAAATCTTCTTTGATAAGCAGTTGACCGAAGGTGCATTTATGCCTGGCTGAGAACACATCTGTTAATGTTTCTATTCCGAGTGGTTTCCACCTGAAGCCTTACAAATGCACATCCGATATTTTTTGTGGTAGCATCGCAAGTCTTTTCATAAACACTTGTCTATCATCTCAAAAATGTACCGAGCACGGTTAAGGTTCACACTTAGAAGTGGCAAAAACAAAACATAGGACTTTACAGTGAGCGCTGTGACATTCCATCCTTAGCTCATCGCACCCACAGGGGATCTAAATCAGCACGCAATGCCTCAATCTGTATGTGTTGTATTCGTGTAAACTCATCTATTCCCAAAAAAGCCACCAGCCTTGACCACTCCAGTGACAGGATGCAGGGCCTGGCTTGTAGCTGCTGTGAGCATCCCAGCATAAGGGGGAGACATAATCAGAGACTTTTGAGCATGTCTGGCATTTCACCAAGTAAAAAGTGTAGTTGTACGTAAGCAACCGGTTGTACATTACAACACAGCACTAACAGGGAATCAGAAGCCTCCTTTTGCATCCTGAGTTCTGAAGTAATTCCTAGTAACCCGTTAGTACTTTAACAGGCTGTAAAGTAAATAAACCACCTACTTAGAACATTGATTGTCGATTCAGACGTCAGCTGGACGTTCGTGGGCATGACGTATTCTATAGTAAAACACCGGCCACGCTCCTCACCTGCAGGGAGAAGAGTCTGATTCATGCTTGTCATTTAATTAAAATGTTTTCTTTAATAGAAGGTTGGTTTTTAAATGAATTTCAGTGCATGCAAAAGAAACGTGCTTTTCTGCTGCTCTTTGAGTCATAACTGTTAGCATGTGGTGCTGAAGAAAGATGCCTACTAGCTACTGTATCCTTGAGGGATTGGCTTTTTAAAATGTCGCTGGCAAAAGAGTAATAGCTAAGGGAGTACTGCAAGCTGGTCTCATGTATCAAACACATGAGCTCAACAAATACAAAATTCACATTGTGCTGGTCATTCTGATCATTTATGGGAGGGCAGTGGAAATGGAAAAACAACAAATCTCAAGCTATGGGAAGTACATGGTAACATTACTGGGTGAAAACAAGGAGGACAGGTGGATGGAGTACTACAGTGCATTTTCAAACAAACTGCATGTAAACAGCTGTTCCTGAATAGGAGAAAGCTCGGAAAGCTAATTGCTAATTGGCAATGGGGGGGGGGGGGTGTTTGACAGACCATGCAATTCTAAGTTAGCTAGAGAGGGCTTGGCTTAGGATGCCTTCTGATGAGGCAAACAAAGGTTTTCGTTAATCAAAAACACGATTAATCAAAATGGATGGTCAATTTCCATGGGGCTACTACTCCCCACTGCACAGGTGGCCAGAAAGTGGGTGGGCAGGAGCAAGGAACAATGGAGCCTCAATTTAGCCCCTCCCATTCCACATCCAGTAGCCGGTTACTTCCTGCTGGAGTATAGGGAGAACCAGGGAGAGAATTGTGACTCAGTAATTCCTTCCCTGCTGTGCTCCTGAGCAGCACAGCTCTGCGCCACCATTCATTCAGGGCCGATTGTAAAGTTACAATCGATGCGTAAGGAATTATACCACCCAACCCCCACTGTGCAAGTGGAGAAACTGAGGCAAAGAAGCGGTTAAGTGGCTTGCCCAAGGTTTGTGCAGAACATCTGCAGCAAAAACAGGAAAGGCACCTAAAATCCCTGGCTCCCGGCCCACTGCTTTACCGGGCAAAGCTTCCTCATTGAAGATGATGTGAAAAATCACAAGAGTGAACAGTTCTTTGTACAAAGCACCGTACCTGCCAAAAAGCAGACCCTCCAGAGACCAGAGTGCAGCGACATTTTGATTTCGGTGGTCTGATTGTGGGGCAGGATGATTCCTTCCTCCAGGTAAAGCCAGTAGTCGGTGCTAACAGCAATTCCTAAGAGCCCCAAACCGCACACAGCAAACACGCTGCTGAGCAGAGTCAGAGCCTTCCTGCCGCACGCGCTCATTCCAAAAAGCATCAGGGTTCGAGACGGCAGTAAGGAACAGCTGGAGGGGAGAAAAGATGGCGTGATTAGCCGGGGCTGGAGCACAGCCAATCTATTTCCAACTTTGCTTTCTTTAAGATCTGTAAGTGACAAAAAGCTTTGCCCTCTCCTTTCCTGCTTATTTAGGTCAAGCTGAAATAAACCATTAAAAAAATCACAAACTCCCCAGACAGACAAAGCATTTGAACCAAATGCTACCCGACTGCCACACAGTTTTACTCCCCAAGTGTTCATGGACTTGATGAACACACTGCCCCTGGGATGTACACATCCAGCCCCAGGGACGTGCACACACACACAATGGGGTTGTTATTATTTATCAGTGGTGTTAATGAGTTGCCTACATGCTCCAACCAAAATTGGGGCCCCATCTAATTATCTATCTTAGGTACTTCTGTGGCCGAATGCCTCACAATCTTTATGCTCCCGACTCTCCTGTGAAGTAGGTAAGTGTTTCTAAGCTACAGATACATAGTAAGAGACATTCCCTGTCCCAGAGATCTTGCAATCTAAAGTCCGAATCCTGCAGAGCTTTACACGCATGCTCACATTTAGGAGTTGGAATTAATACCATAGACGTCAATGGGACTACGCGCAGTGTGTAAAGTGAAGCATAGGTGGAAGTCTTCGCAGATCAAGGCCTAAATAATACCTTACATTTATCTAGAGCCTTTCATCCACAAGGATCCCAAACACATTACAAACCCATGCACACTTGAGAACCACCATGATCTGCACTTAGCCACATTCACACTGAGCCATTCTTCTGTGTGAATTATAGTCTCTCCACTCCTGTGAGAAACCATTTGCCATCAGGGGGCTAGATTGAAGCAGGGCTTTGGAGCGGAGCCCGGAGCAGCTCCGGAACAGTGGAGCTGCAGGTTTTTGCCTGCAGCTGGAGTGGAGCCGGAGCACAGCTCCAAAGCCCTGGATTGAAGTCTCATATTATTAAGCGTTCGTAATTTTACTAAATGCACTGTGGCCCATACACTAAATGACATTCGCTAGATAAATAAATGAAGTATATTGTGCAATGCGTTAGCCTCACTTTATTTACTTTTTTATTGTATTTGTTCACTTACTCGCTAATTTGCAGAATTCAGTTGTTCTCAGTGGGCCTTCCAGATGACATTGCAGATTGACAAGATTTTACCAAAGGTCATCATTTTATTTATTAAAGTTTTACCAAAGGCTCTTAAGCAAAGTAAGCAGTCATGGGATAAGAGGGAAGGTCCTCTCATGGATCAATCACTGGTTAAAAGGCAGGAAACAAGGGGTAGGAATACATGGTCAGTTTTCACAGTGGAGATGTAGTGGGGGCCCCCGGGAACTGCACTGGGACCAGTACTGTTCAACATATTCGTAAATGATCTGGAAAAGGGGGTAAGTAGTGAGGTGGCAAAGTTTGCAGATGAAACAAAATTCCCCAAGTTAAGTTCAAAGCAGACTGCGAAGAATTACAAAGGGATCTCACAGAAGTGTCTGACTGGGCAACAAAATGGCAAATGAAATTCAATGTTGATAAATGCAAAGGAACGCATATTGAAAAACATAATCCCAACTATACATACAAAATGATGAGGTTTAAATTAGTTGTTACCACTCAATAAAGAGATTTTGGAGTCATTGTGGATAATTATCTGAAAACATCTGCTCGTGTTAAGTAGAAGTCTAAAAAAGCTAACAGAATGTTAGGAACAATTAGGAAAGGGATAGATAATAAGACAGAAAATATCATAATGCCACTGTATAAATCCGCAGTATGCCCACATCTTCAATACAGCATGCAGTTCTGGTCGCCCCATCTCAAAAAAGATAGATTAGAACTGGAAAAGGTACAGAGAAGGGCAACAAAAATTATTAGGAGTATGGGACAACTTCCATAAGAGGAAAGATAAAAAAGATTGGGACTGTTCATCTTGGAAAAGAGACGATTAGGAGGAATATGATAGAGGTCTATAAAATCATGAATGGTGTGGAGAAAGTGAATAAGGAAGTGCTATTTACCCATTCACATAACACAAGAAACAGGGGGGACACCCAATGAAATTAATAGGCAGCAGGTTTAAAACAAACAAAAGCAATGCACAGTCAACCTGTGGAACTCATTGCCAGAGGATGTTGTGAAGGCCAAAAGTATAACTGGGTTAAAAAAAAAATTAGATGGAAGATAGGTCCATCAATGACTATTAGCCAAGATGGTCAGGGGCGCAATCCCATGCTCTGGGTGCCCCTAAGTCTCTAACTGCCAGATGTTGGGACTGGACAACAGGGGATGGATCACTCAATAAATTGCCCTGTTCTGTTTATTCCCTCTGAAGCCCCGGGCATGGGCCACTGTTGGAAGACAGGTTTCAGAGTAGCAGCTGTGTTAATCTGTATCCGCAAAAAGAACAGGAGTACTCGTGGCACCTTAGAGACAGGATGCTGGGCTAGATGGACCACTGTTCTGACCTAGTATGGTCATTCTTATGTTCTCAAAAGTTCACTGCTCCCTGACAAGGCACTAAGGGCTCTGTGCCACAGGGCAAAAGCATAACTAAATCAGAAGAAAAGTCACAACAAATGACAGGTTAGAGAAATGAGAGGCAATGAAGAAGGTTTTGCTAAAGCCATTGTAGCTTGGTGGTGGGAATCAGGTAGCTAGATCTGTTTACTGCTTTTACAAAGACACAATATGAGCTACAGATAAGGGCAATATCATGCAGCCTTTCCCAAGTGTGTTTGGTTCTTATTGAAAACGAGAGAAACAAAAACAAAATTCCCTCTTGACAACAAACCAATCAAATTTAACACAGGAGCAGAAGGCAACATCTTCCTTGTCCTACTTTTAAAATTGCACACGCACTGTTCAAGCTATGTAAAGCTTCAAAACAATAAAACGGTAGCTGATTGAATCCAAACAGAACACAGTGTTTAATTAGCGTGTACATTGCAAGGTGACAAGGAAGGCAGAAAACTCCTAAATAAACAGAAGAGACAATTTCATATCAATTGTTGGAAGCATTTCCAAAATACTGAGGGGATAACTAATCAGAAATATGGGATAGCTTGGTCTTGTGTCTCTTAGGGCTGTTCTGTGCATTAGCTTGTACCGAAGAAAGTGAATTGTTTTTCATTTCACACCTTTTGTTATTTTGGGCCAAGTCAGTGTGTGAACACGCTCAGTTTGGAATAAGCACAATTGAAGTAGGATATTTTTAAGTGTTTTTTTGTTTTTTTATTAACTTCCTTGTTGAAGTGAAGGAAGGACCAAGCGATTAAAGCAGGAAGCCTGGGAATCAGGAGTCCTGGGTTCCTTTTCCTGCTCTGAGAGTGGGGTTTAGTGGCGTGAGCAGAGGAATGTGGGGGCATGGGAGTCAAGAGGACACCACGGTTCAGTTCGTGCCCTGGCTTTTTACGATGGATAAATTAATACTTATATACAGTAACTCACAGGGGGACCTGTAAGACTTCACAGTTTGCAAAGCACTTTGAGAACCTGCAAAGGAAGAGTGCTATCACAGACTCATGACTACTGCCCTGAGAAGCAGGTGACGATAAGTACTTCCTGCCACTGAACAGTGATACAGTCCTTGTATCTGCAGGACAGCCAACAAGTTAAGCTCCTTTAGGCAGAGTAAAATGTGCTTTCCCTTTGATAACAATCAAATAAACACAGGCAATTAACCTCACCTACAAAGTTTTGCACTGCCTTTCCATTTGACCATACACAGAATTTTAAAATAAAAGGTGAAAGCAGTTTTCCTGAGTGTAGATGTTCTTTACACAACATTATGCTTCAAAAGAAATACATGGTGAAGAGGTTCAAACTATTTAAAAGGACAGTACCCTATTCCTAGACACTAAAACTAAGTGCAAAGGAGTTAACTGAATCTTGGGAAGAAATATACTTGGCTCTTTCTACATTGACATTAGATAGACTGTGCACATAAGGTGCTGATTTAAGCTACAAAAAGTGCTGTCACTTGAAGAATGTGGCCCAGCCAAGACCCTGCCACTATATGGTATTACCCTTGCCTATGGCTTTGATGAAGAGTGTTTTTTTTTTTTACATGGTTTTCTCAGCTCCTGGGAAACCCTGATGTTCAATATTTGCCACTGGTGACTAAGGGGTTTTGTATGCGGTTAGCAACACCATAAATATACAAAATAGAGAATGCTTCTTTCATTCAAATATCGGGCAGCGGGAGCTATCAAGCCTGAAATTGTGTGACCATTACTTGCCAGACACCCACACTACAGAGCAGCATATGAAATTACAGCCTTGAAGTCGACGATACCCCTACAGAGAACATCAGCAGCAAGATGCATGTTGTATGTGTGCAGGAACACCAAGACACTTTTTCTGATATATTGGTGGGCCAAAGCCAAGTAGGGATGGGTGGTTATGGGGAAAAGAAGAGATTCTTGCTCCAAAGACATCTATAATCCTTTCATTTAATCACCTCTAACCTGTTCCTACTGACCAAACTCTCCTCTGTGGCTTGAAAGCCAAAATCATTTAATAACTGAGAAAAAAAAAAAAGATTTTTGCCCCTTTGAGAATATTTGCCCATCCCTTAAGGAACTGTTGTGATCAGAAAAGTGACTATGCAGATATGGCACCTTCCTGTTTGTCAGTTCTACTCCCTGGGTCCATATTGAGCCATATTTTCTGACTACAGTGTCTAAAAGAAAAGAGTTTACTGTGTTTTACTCCTGTTAATACTTCTGAAGCCAAAACAACTAAGGGAGCTGGAGTCTATTCCTGGCTCATGTATCATCAACAGGACTGTTAACAAAGGGCCTGACTGTGAGGGCTTGACTATACAGTGAGTTAGCACAAGGCAAACTGGGGTGTAAATCTGCATTGCTGTATCCTGCCCCGCACACTAACTGCCCACGTAGAACCTACTTCTGTGCTCCAACCTATTGCCGGTTGAAACAGCGGCACGCAAATCACACCACCGAACTTTCAGCGTACAGCAGCA